ATTTGTTACAATTGATGAGCCAATATTGATATATTATTAATTAAACTTCACAGTTTATACTGGAGTTCACTTTTTGGGTCCTACATCCTATGGCATTTGACAGATCTACAATTTCATGTGTTCATGCCCCAACTATATTTTTAATTCATTATTTCACTGGAGATAAGAGTTACAATAAACATGGATAGAAACTTGAAAAGGAATTCCAAATGAATGATGTTTTATGCAACAAAGTACTCCTCCAAAATCCTAGGGGTTGCACATCCTCTTTCTCTTACCTGTTTTGTAAGTCAAAGTGTGGCTGGCAATTCAGGGAGTTGTGCTTAAACACCCAGAGACAAGAGATGTTCCCTGGGGTGCTGACCAGCACCTGCAACGTGATGGATGCGAGCACATCCACTTCCACCGTGGCAGCTTCGTACACGGTCCCTGCGCTCCTGGATCGCAAAGCACACCCAAGGTCTTCTGGGGATTCTGACATCTATGTTGTAGATAGAACAACACGAATTCATGACAATTGTGTGTTTAGTGCATCCCCTTCAAATGCATGCATGCTGACATACTGCACACAACACCCAAGCATGCTGTAACCCATTGAGAACACATCGCTAACTGAAAATCCTATTAATTATAATTCTCTAAAGAAAAGGTAAATCACGTTAGGCTGCATTTCTAAAATGTCGTATGAGCTGTTAGGGGTTGAGTTTTGTCCTCCTTCACCAAATTGATATGTTAAGGTCCTAACCCTCGGTAGCTCAGAATGTGACTTTCTTTGGAGATAGGGTCTTTACAGAGATAGGTTACAATGAGATCATTAGGGTGAGCCTTAATCCAATATGACTGGTAGCCTGATAAGAAGATTTTTGAGACAGGCACACATACAGAGAGAATGCCCTGTGAACAAGAAGACAGCCATCTGCAAGCCAAGGAGAGAGGCCTGGAACAGATGCCCTCTCATAGGCCTTACAAGGAACCAACCCTGCCAACATCTTCATTTTTGACTTCTAGACTCCAGAATTGTGAGACAATAAATTTCTGTTGTTTAAATCACTCAGTCTATGATACTTTGTTACATCAGCCATAGCAAACTAATGTATAGACAATAATTGTAAAATTCATAATACACAGGTAAACATTTTTATGATTATTGGTATATAGATAAGAATCTATATAGCAATGGTAAATTGGTATCTGTGTTAGAGGAAATTTGAAAACCAAATTTTCTTGGCCAGGTGCAGTGGCTCACACCTATAATCCTAGCACTCTGGGAAGCTGAGGCAGGCGGATCATTTGAGGTCAGGAGGTGGAGACCGGCCTGAGCAAGAGAGATACCCCATCTCCACTAAAAATAGAAGAAATTAGCCGGGCATGGCGGTGTGTGCCTATAGTCCCAGCTATTCGGGAGGCTGAGGCAGAAGGATTGCTTGAGCCCAAGAGTTTGAGGTTGCTGTGAGCTAGGCTGACGTCACAGCACTCTAGCCCGGGCAACAGAGCAAGACTCTGTCTCAAAAAAAACAAAAACAAAAACAAAACCATAAATTAAAACAACACCAAGACATCACTTCTCATCCAGACTGGCAAAAAATTTAAAAATATGACAACACATTTTGTTGGTGAGGCTGTGAGGAAACAGTTACTCTCATATGTTGCTGGAGGAATGCACGTTGGCACAACCCTTCTGGAGGGGAATTTGGAAATACCTAAGAAAACTACACAGGCATTCACCGTTTGAGCCAGAAATCCCACTTCTAAGATATACCTCCAACAATTAATTGTAGCACAATTTGTAATTGCAAGATATTGGAAGCAACCTAAATGTTCATACATAGGAAAGCGGCTGAATAAACCATGGTACAGCCACACCGTGGAGTACCATGCAGCATAAAAAAGAAGGAGGACAACTTCTATGAACTAATTTGGAATGATTTCTGGATGTATTGTTAAGGGAAGAAAACTAAGTGCAAAAAATATCCACATTCAAGTATGCTACACCGTGTAAGAAAGAGGTAAATATAAGGAGATACACATGTATCTGCTCATTTGTACACAATAAATATAGGAATAATATCAAAAAATCTAAAGGCATTGGTTAACTGTCGGAGGTATGTGAGAAGAGGATGGAAACTTGGCAGGAGGCAAGAGGAGGGAGTGATGCTTTTCTGAGTTACCATTTTATATAGCTTTGACTTCTAGCACCAGAGTCATGTTTCACAAACTCAAAAAACAAGTATTTCTAATTAAACCAACCAGGATATGGGAGGGACGGGGTTGGGGGGACAACAAAATGGAATGCAAACCAAATTAATTTAATTGTATTACAAATAAACAACAAAACCACAGTGAAGCATATGAGAAAGAAAAAAACTAACCCAAGTAACTTTGGAAAATAATACTCTGAATACTATAAGGCTAAAGACAAAAAGCACTGGATGCAAATACTGTATTTTAGTTATTAAATCTGTTTCTCACTGCAGTACGGGTTAGCAATTCTAAAACTAGTTTATCCATATGCTACATTTCCTAGTTCTGTCTGCTGAAAGAGCCTAGAAGCAATGACACCCCAGCAGAAATGAGCACACCCAGCTCTCAGACCTTGGTTTCTAAATACCATCCCCTAAGGAACCAGTGCTCCTTGGGTAAGTGCTTAATTCCAGGGCTAAGGCAAGGCAAATACAAGATGAGCCTGGATGATCTCATAGTGCCACAAGGTAAGGAAGGGCTTGAGAAAAGACATGTTGAAAGGACAGAGAAGCCAAACTAAAGCAGCTCCCAATGGCCACAGCAGGAACAATTTGAGCAACAAAATAAACAATGATAGCAATAAATAATAACAGGCCGGGCGCGGTGGCTCA